GTTTGAATTTGTATTTCCCTGATGATCAGTGATGTTGAGAATCTTTTCATATACCTGTTGGCAATTTGTATGTCTTGACAAAGGGAAGCATCCATTCATGATAAAAACTCTCCATCAAAAAAATGTCCTCAATACAATAATGGCCATTTATGAAAAGGCCACAGGTAATCACAGTCAATGAGGAAAAACTGAGAGCTTTTTCTCTAAGACATGGTACAAAGCAAAGATAGCCACTCTCAACAATTCTATGCAACAAAGTATTGGAAATACAGCAAGAACAGCAAGGCAAGAAAAAGAAATAAAAGGCATCCAAACAGTTAAGGAAGAAGTAAAATTATCTCTGCAAATGACATGATTCTATATGCAGAAAACCCTAAAGATTCCACAAAAAACTATTAGAACTAATACACCAATTCAGTAAATTTGCAGGATACAAAATCAACATACAAAAATCAGTTGTGTCTCTTTATGCCAAAAGTGATCTATCTGAAAAGGAAATCAAGGGGGGAAAAATCCCATTTATGATAGCATAAAAAAAAAAATTACGTACTTGGGAATAAATTTAACCAAGGAGTGAAAGATTTGTACACTGAAAACTATAAAACACTGATGAAAAGAATTGAAGATGACAAAAATAAATAGAAAGATATCCCATATAAGAGGTGAACAATACTTAACAGAAATAGGTTAACTCCAGCTTCGGGTCCAAAAATTCACTAATCAGGCATGATTTGGTGAGATCTGCCTTTCTCTCTTCACATCTCACACACACAAAAAAGGGAAGTCAAAGAACACTAGTATTAACTCTTGGGGGTCAGGGAAGAACAGAGAGAAGAGGCCTTAGTAACCTTTTTCCTCAGGGACTGAGAATGTAACCCTACTGCTGCACGCATTTTGGAACAATCATCACTTTGTTGTCACATGATTAAGAGAGAGAAACTCCAAGTGCAGCAGGACCTCGGTTTTTGAATGTGATCTGTTCTGGAGACCGACCGAGTTCTGAAACGTTGGAAAACCGAGAGCTGGGCCTCAGGATCTTGCCCTCGGCGAAAGCCGCAGGGCACGTTCAGCTTCCAAGGTGTGTTCGAAAACTGAAGCACTGACTTCCAGGTTTACCGTGTTCGTAAACCGAAATGTTCGTCAATGGAGATGTTCGAAAACCAAGGTACCACTGTATTTTTTTTTAATTTTAATTTTTTTACCTTCAGAACTAGTTTATTGATACCCAAAATATTATTTTGGGGGAAAGTGTTGAAGTATCTGCTCTGGATTTAAATTTTCTCTGCTTAATAATTATATTTTTCTGGTTAGTAGTTGGAAACTCCAAGTATTTTAAAAGTGACAAGATGTCTGTTTCATTGAACAATCCCAGAAGATAATGCCTTCATTTTTAATATAAAATGTATCAGATCTATATACTTGAAGAGAAAAAGACACCAACATACAAATGATATACAGCTGCAATAGACTCTTTTTCCCAGTCAAATTTGAAATAAAAGATTTGAAGATCCAAAGCTACATTAATGCAAATGTCTGCCTGTTGCAAGTATACTTTTTGATTAAATTGGCATACATCAAGTACAATTAGAAAGGCTATTTATAACGAAGAAATACATAATTCTGCATCTTAATGGGGATGACAATTACAGCTGATGGTTGCTAATTAACATTACTTCTTTTGCTCTGGGGGCCAGATATTTCTTGCATGATCTTTATTGCTGGCAACGGACATACCTAATTCTGGAAGGCATAAATGGGTTAATTATGTGCTCATAACAAATTCATTGGTAACCTGCCCAGGTCTGACTTCACACTGGAGAACAGGATCAAGTAGAATCAGTAAACTCTGACTCAGTATTATGACAGGAAGAGTACTGAACTTTCTGAGTGAAGGAGCACCTACCCTCCGGGTGTTCAGAATGACAGGGAGAAAAGGCCTCTCTAGTCCTCTCTCCAGGTGGAGTGATTTATGGGGTGTTGCCTGTTCCAGCCAAGCAGAAATGCATGGCACTGTTTAGTTCAGTGGTGCCACCCTCCTGTGCCAGCCAAGATGACCAGTGTGCTTACTCTCTCGGACAGCTCAGGGGGGTGTGATTGGTGCTGGAGGCCAAAAGTGAAATGGAGGGAAAGAAGCATTATAGCTCCCAGCACAGAAAACTATAAAGCTCTCTTTGCTTGTGTTATAAATTACGTATTTATTTTGTTAGCATGAGATAGATGAATATTTCTACATACAAAGGTGCACGGCTAAAATCAGGGTAAGTGATATTAATGTCCTATGGTCAGTATTATTGAACCTCAAAAGCAGTAAACTTTATGAGTCAATAAATATTACATTTGCAGCATAGTTAACATTCCTTTACTGTCTCTAGCACTTATTACACATGGTAACTGCAAGTCTACCATACATTATTCATATTTGGGGTGTCACCAAGTGATGGATTGCTGTAGGAGAGGCTGTCCTTTAAATAAATCAACAAATAAAAATGCAAATGTTAACATTTTCAGCCACAACTTTTTCCATCTTGAATGGGGAATGAAAACTTCACATTATATTGACAGGCAGCAGAGAGAACAATTAACAGCCTCCATGTGAATGAGGAGGACTCTGCCACGCCTCGTTTCATCACCTGCATGTGGAATGATACGGGTCTTCTTTTAGGTGTTAGTGCTTTGCAGAGAACAAAGGAAAACCTGTCTCCCACAAGCATAGGTACAACCCCCATACTCTCTTGCAAGTCTTAAAAATTCTTGGAATTTAGGGTAAACAGGGAATGGTCTTTTACTCTTGTTTACCTCAGTACTACTTTCAAAGGTTTGTTGTGACAAAGAACAATAGGTTTTTCTTTTGCATTGAGTTTTTCTGTGACTGAAAAGTAGTCTATAAAAATTGCCTTTTCTACACTTTGAAATAAAAATAATTCAAATAATCCTGATTCTGAACTCTAGAAAGCAACCATTGTGCCTTCCTGGTAACTGATTTTCATAGCACTGAATCTTTTTCAACTCTGCACTTTGTAGAATAGATCTATAATATGCCATCGTGCACGTCTAGGGATAAAATCTGGTGTGCTACACACTGTTTTATTTAGCCAAATGCTCATTATTTAAAAAGCTTCTGAGAATCTATATGTAGCTGACTTGCAGTATTTAGAACAAACAGATAAAGAATCCTTTTTTAAGGTCCGTAAATATGAGTCTTCACAACAATTTTAACTGGCCTTGTAAAACTCTACAAAATTGATATGGTCCATTCAGAAAATGTGTGCTGAAGATGTTCTATAAAACCCTCACTGGGGAAGCATTTTCTTTTTCATGCTTCTCTCTAAAGTGAAATGCAATCATCAAATACACATTAAAGTAGTGCTAAAGATCTCATTTTAATCTTCAACTACAGGGAGATTCACCAAGACCGAAAATCCAGGCTCTCCCTCCTCTTTACCTGTAACTTCTCCAGAGGAATCTCTCAGGGCGAGCAAGAATAGATCCTCTTTGTTCACAAGCATTCAGCCACAACATTAAGTGGTCAAAGGTGGGAACCCCATCAATATTTCGGAACCACAACTCACTGTGGATCTTTGGCAAAATAACAACAGCAGCATTAAAAGTAGAAGAGGAGTAATAAACAAAGAATGTGGTAAACTAATGAAATTTTCTTTTGATTGTGGGTGGCCTCCAAAATAGGGAAGTTGTCTTTGCCAACTATTGTTAAGATTATGGGCTTTGGAGTCTGAAATGCTGGCTTACCTCTTATTGGCTATATGACCTCAGGCAAGTCACCTAGTCTCTCTGAGCCTTAGTTTCCTAACTTTTGAAATGAGGATGACAGTAGCACCACTTCATAAGGTTGTGATGAAGATTAAGTCAGATAATGTACACCAAGGGCTGGGAACATAGAGAATTCATAGATGACAGCCACTACTATTACCCTCTGTGTCATTTCCCAGAAGTTCTTCAAAATGAAAGTTGTCCTAAAATTTGTATTCATCTGATAAAATACTAGGTATTTAAGTGCTCAAATAATCATATTCCCGAGGAAAAATAAACTGAGCCCTTCTGGTGTTGATATTTATATATTCAGCTGTAAGTATATAATGAGAGTTGGCTTATTAGATATGAGAAATTTTAATAACATATTTCTTTTCCTGATTGCAAAAAAGGCTGATCAAATTATTAACAAAAACACTGATTTGAAGAGATATGTGCACCCCTATGTTCACTGCAGCATTATTTACAATAGCAACCTAGCTGTTCGCTGATAGATGAGTGGATAAAGATGTGGTATAAAAGTAGGAAACCTTGTTATTGTTTGGTTTATATTTTGATTTTTGAAACCCCAGTGCCTGGTTGTGAGTTCTGTCCAGATGCTGGAGGTAAGAGTGGTTGAATAAATTAACTTGTGAAACACACACACTCACACAAAAGATGTGGTGTATATATATATACTAGAATATTGCTCAGTCATAAAAAAGAATGAAGTGTTTCCATTTGCAACGACATGGATGGACCTAAGGAGTCTTGTGCTAAGTGAAATAAGTCAGACAGAGATAAATACTGTATGATTTCCTGTATATGTGGAATCTAAAAAGTAAAACAGACAAACAAAACAGAACAAACTCATAGATACAGGAAACAAACTGGTGGTTACCATAAAGAGGAGGGGGTTAGGGGAGGGCGGGTGAAATAGGTGAAGGGGATTAAGAGTTACAAACTTCCAGTTATAATATAAGTAAATCATAAGCATATAATGTACAGCATATGGAATGCAGTCAATAATATTGTAATGACTTTGTATGGTGACAGATGGTAACTAGATTTATTGTGGGGATTATTTCATAATGTATATAAATATCAAACTATTATTTTGTAATGTATATAAATATCAAACCACTATGAAGTATTCTGAAATTAATATGATATTGTATGTCAATTATGTCAACAATTTTTAAAAAAATGCTCTTCTCTGAAGGATGTTAAATGAAAGAATCCCTAAAGCTTACCGGGAGGTGTCGGGTTGGAATGACACCGTGGTTGTGCTTACAAGCTCCTTTTGGGTTTCTGTTGTCATAGGAGATGTGGACGCATCTTTTCTAACTCCTGTCATTGTCCCTGTACGAACAATAAAGGAAATAGTTTGGGCACTCAATAAAAGGAAATGGAAAAGTACATTCTGAGTAATATATTAGAGATTATAGGAATCCCGAAGTTTTGAAATTAAGCATTTCCCCCTGTGAAATGAAACAATGACAGATGGAAAACTCAGAGGGTTGTTTTGATTTTGTAAACATCAGAGATCTATAATATCTTGTTTTAAAAAAGCACATTTGTGCAGTAACAGAATGACTAGAGATTTTTAAAAACCTAAAGTCCTCTCATATCCCTGCTGACTTGGGTTTACTGTGTAAATGCCCAAGATGGTAGATTGCTTCATTTCATTCCTCTTAACTATCATAACAAAAGCTCCTTCTTCTCTTTGACAAGACAGAAAATTCCAGCACTTTGCATCTCCAACCCCCCCCCCCCCC